TAAAAGCAAGCTTTTCTTTGTAAAAACTTCAATTGAATTTCAATAAAGTTAAAAGCATGGCCTCACCGTTAATATTTAAAAAAAAAAAAAAAAAAGTAAATAGTACAGACTGTTTTAATATTTATATGTTAATCTTTTGAAAGAAATAAACTAAATCATCTATTTTTTATAAAAGTTTTATTAAGAAAAAGAGAAACCATAAGGTGAACCAAACTATAGCTTTTATAAATACTTAATTCTTATGAAAGTTTCTTATAAATTTTATAGTTATATAGAAATAATATATCCAATTTTATTATTTACTTTATGAAAAACTTTTAACTTTTACCAATTACTTTTTTTATAATTCCAAATCTTTTTTAAATCATTATAAAATGATAACTTCTTTTTTATCTTTATTTCAATATCTATTATATATGCTTAATACTTTAAAGAAGGTTTCATAAAGTTTAATATATTAACTATATCATTTTTTTGTAGTTCAACATTTTGAAAAATTTGATCCAAATGATTGTTAAAAAGAGTTGATCCTTAAAACAGTCAAATAAGTTAAATGTTAATAATTAAATAACTATTATAATTAAAATTGATTATATATATATGTATTTTTTTTTTTTTTAAATATTAAAGAAGTATATATGTGATTTGTAAATCTTAGAATTTAATATTTCCACATTTTTTTTTGATATTGTCACACCTTTGTTAATAAAATCAATATAAATTATTAAGTTTTAATTAGAGTTTAAGTTAGTAAAAGTGTAAAAATACGTATCAATTCCCAAAACTTACTATATAATAGAATATATGCATAATTAACTATATAAACAAAACAATTATTAGATCACAATATAATATCTTATTGGAAAATAATTTATGCATTTATAATGCAAAAATAATTTGCTACAGTTAAAGCGAAGCCCACATTCTGACCTAATGCCTACGCTATATGAAAATATTTGGTTATCAAAAGACAATTTTATATGGTCATAATCAAACACTATTATGAAACAAAATTTCGCTATTTCAAAATATTCGCTATACAAAAATTTGTTATCTCGAACTATAATAAAAAAATTGCTAAAGAAAATATAGTAATAAATTTTATTATGAAAAATCTCATAACATTGCAAGCAACGTCAGGTGCAGGTGTTAACTTAAAGCATGACATTAATACTAGAGAATTAGTATGAAAAATAATAAAGCCGAATATTATTATTGTAATTTGAATTTTGTAAACATTCCTAAACCAATTTATTTTATTCGCGTTGATTAGCCTGAGCATAAAAGTTATTTGTATTTAAATTTGAGTCGCACGAATAACGTGTAGCGAATATAACACGAATGATGAATGGCGTAAGACTATTTAATGATCAATCACTTATCGACCAACCATACTCAAAAAAATTTTTGTTTATCAGTCGCGATCAAACAAATTAAATGATCGAAACTTCCTAATCGATCATCATTTCTAATCAGAGGAAGAAAGCACCGACTCCTAAATAAGTGTGAACAAAATTTTTTAATATATATAATGAAATAACAGATAAACAAATTAGTTGATAATATACGTCATCGGAATCCGACGCCTCATTAATTGATTCGTTTGTATGATCCATTATATCAAGACCATCTTCACTAATGTTGTCGTCACTACTACTTTCAACATAAACGGTTTCAACTCCATTTGTTGTTACAGCTCTTTGAGCTTTCCGCATCGCTATCTGTTGCATTATTAAATCTAGACGTCCCTGAAAATTCAATAATTTTTGGAATACAGCCGAACGAGAATCCAACGCTTGATAAAAATTTGAGAGTTTATGAGTTAGATCAGGTACCTGAATGTGAAAAAAACAAGTGAATTTATTACGATGAAATCAGAAAAATAATACGAAACTCATGTTTCGCAAGAGTGAAAAATGAATAACGTACAGTCATAAGATAAGTCATATGTATTAACGTCACAGCTTTTATCCATTGTAACATATTCATTACGGATCTAGGTTTTTCATAAAACCTTGTGATCACCTTTTCTAAGAAAGGTATGATATACTTTGTAGGCAATTTTCTAACGGTGTTATTAACAATATCTGGACTTGTTTGTTCTAAAACCAAACCAAAAAGATGGTCATCGTTTGAGTGTAATGCTTGAACTAACATTTGTTGCATAGAATTTCCTTGGAGTGTTTTCAACTTCGATGCGTGAGACGATTGAGACATTTCAGAATCCACACTCATCAAATCAAGATCTTTCAACTTTGTTTCTAATGTTTCTTCCTAATTAAAGATAATTATTACTATGTAAAAATGAAGACGATATTTACAATAATCAATATATATATATATATATAATGTACCCGAGTTGATGAATTTTGTGTCAATAAATATTGAGTAGGCTTATCAATTTCTGTGGGAGGTTTTGGTATTTCGTAATTTGAACTACTCAGCACATTGGCTTTTGATTCATTGTATGGGTTTTGTGTAGCAGCCTTTTGTAATTTGTTAAATTCATACATATTAGAACTTTGAGATTACATATATACAAGAATCTTAACAAAGTATATTCAAATTCACCAAAGTTTTTGCTGCCAAATTTGATTCATCTACTAAGGGACCGGTTGATGGATTGCGTATTAATGTTACATTTGGTAAGTACTCTCCACTTTCTTTATCGATAAATCGCTATTCATTTAGTACATTAGGATTAATCAGAATGGAAACTTATCAAAGTTAAAGATAAATTTCCAAAAAAAAACATACCACTTTTTCAAAAATAGGTTTTACTGTATTCCCTCTGGCAATCATTATATACTCCTTCTCCTCATTTTCATTTTCGTTCAAGAAACATGCAGAAATAATTGGTATTATTGTGTTATTATTTTCATTTAGAACCTTAATTATACAATCAGGCGTTTGTGTTGTAAATCGTTTTTTCTTTTTATTTAACTGCATGGGAGAGTGGGAATTCACATCTCTGAAAATATTTATAGTACCCGTTTCAGAAATTGCCAGAATGGCATTAAATTTAGATATCGAAAGACCTCTTGTGTCTTCATCCAGAGTAAGTGCTGAATCATTTTGCGTAAAGAAAGAATACAACAAATCGGATCAATCTGATATCAATGGCGTAGTTTAATCATTAAGCAAGTAAAGGAAGATTAGATTTATTACCAGCAAAACCAACGCCTTGTGGCTCATTTCCATGACATTGCCAAATATTTATGAACCTATCGTGTTCTGCAGTCGATACGCAGAAATCATCACTTGCTGAGAACATAATATTGGTTATTATGCTTACGTGTCCTGTGAAACTCTTAAGAACTTGCTTTGATCGTAAATCCCACAATTTGATGGTATGTCCCGCGGATAACAATTTGGTCTCATCATGCGAAAGTGTAATAATATATTTAGTCGTTTGGGTGTCAACCTTCCATTTACTGTTGCAATACATGATACGTGTTAGTTAATAACTAATAGAATGAATGGATCTATCTAACTACAAGTACCTAATTACATCCCCTTTTTCAAAATCCCATTCAACAATGTACGCGTCTTCGGCGCACGAATAAGCTTTTTTTCCATTTTTAGAAAAAACAAAGTTGTTAATCGGTAGCTTATGCGAACCACTCAATGTTTTTACAATGCTTCCGTGAGCAATTGAGTAAATAGCAATAGATCCATTCTGTAGTCCAAGAGCGATAACTTTGCTAAATTGTTGAATTTGTGATGATAATTTCTTTTTCTTTTTTGGCGGAGGAGTATCCTAAAGATGAGATAGTTTCATCAGCATATAAATTATAAATGTATATATAACGAGGAAAGTGAAAGGACTTATGCGTGCCTTGTACGACTTACAACTTTGCCATTCAACTCCTCGTCATATACTTTTCCCCAAGACAAGCAGGTGAATTTATCTTCTTTATCCGAAGAAAACTCATTGTTAACTGTACCCGTATGCGTGTCAAATACCCTGAGACGGTGACGATCTACATTTTGAGTGACTAGTGCAAAAAAATCTGCAGCGGGTAAATCAAAACTTGCTAGAAGTGATTCAGCTTTAATGGAATTCGTTGTTGGGTGTGTCTCGCTAATGGCAGTGTTAAAATTGTTTAAATTGTTTCTCGGTTTGTTCTTCGTCTTCCCCATAATTTTAAAAAACTGCGAAAGTTATGATTTACCAATCGAATGGCTTTTTTTTTTTTTTCTTTTTTTTTTGTATGTACGTGCGTAGATAATCAATGAATCATATGATTGGAGAAAAAAAATTTTCCTTTTTGGTATCTCTTTAGCACTCAGGGAACATGTCACATGTTCACATATCTGAGTGCTAGACCATAGTAAAAATTATAGTAAAAAAATTTTAGAAATAGTTTGAATAATTTTGGTTCTAATTGAATAATATAACTTAAATATATCAAAATCGTCGCCAAATAATAAAGTTGAAAAATAATTTTTATATAAACGGAAAAGGATTTCGGACTCAAAGTTTATCATTATTTTATTGTATAAATTTATTTATAATAAAAATACAAAATCTTCAATAACTAGACAAGACTTACAGTGAAAATTTAGATGTAAGATGACATATTATCAGGATTCTAGTTAGTAAAATAAGATCTTGAAAAATAATTTAAAAAAATTATTTCAATTCGTAACTTATTATTCGATTATTGAATAATTTCAGTTGTTTCAGAATTTATAAAAGCAGCTGTAAGATTCTTTTAATCCTAACCTATAACCATACTTATGACTGATAGAAAGAATTAATCATATGACATCAGTAGTCAAAATAAGCCTCATAATCAACAAAGTAAGAGGACATATATAACAGATAATTTTATTACTTCATGTAAGTTTGGAAAAACCTTTTAAATAATATGTAAATATGCAAAGTTAATTGATAAAATATTATTACAAAAGTTAAAATAATTATACTAAACATATTTACTATTGCAAGTAAGGCTTAAAGAAATATAAAAAACATATAGGAAAGAGATTTGATGTTATGATATTGATAAAGATTCTTAAGCTTTATATAGGGTTTCAAGTTATTTCTTATCAAATTATATTTACATTTTTAAAATATTATAACTAAGATATTTAAAAGATTATTAAAGAATAATTAATTATAACTTACTAGTAATTATAAATAATATAATACATGATAATTTTTATAATAAAACATGTAATAATTATTAAAATTTTTATTTTATAATAAAAATTTTTATAGTTTTAAGATTAAGATAATAATCTAAATATTTAAATATAATTTAGCAATATTAATACAAATTGCAGGTTTAAAGAGTTTAAAGTAAAACATTCAAGCAAAGGTATTAAATACAGTAATTGGTAGAAATTCTTTAGGTAAATTTCTTAAATAGGTAATATAAAAAAGTTATATATATAACCAATTGTATGCTCTTCTGTAATAGTTTATTAAATCATATTTATTAGTAAAATTTTTAAGTAGATTTATATTGATATATAGTATTTAATCAATATATATTGATTAAAAATAATTACTATATATAAATTAAATTACTATATATTGATATATATCACTAATGATATATAATGATTATTGATATATAATTATTATAAATAATTATAATTACTATTAATCAACTCTCCCCGACGATCACTTGTACCGAATTTTACACCAACAAAAACAGAAAACTTATTGGAGAAAGTAGAAGAGGCTACTATACAAATAACGGTTTTTATAAAGGTCAA